CAGGAATGTTAAATGAAGGCTTTAACATCTTCTGAGGAAGGTATCAGAGGAGTAGATAAGCCCGAGTACAAGGAAGGAACATTAACTACAGTGAGTCCCTCTAAGCTTGCACTGCAGATTAGTACTAGACAGTAGCAACACTAGTAACAGAGAATATTAGCAATGATGCATGGCCTGAAAAAAACAGTATCTGTTTGGAAGAAACACCACTCAGTTTATGTGGACTATTCCTTAGACATCTAACTGCTTCTGTTACTGCCTAATAACTATCAACAAGACAGGATAAGGAGCTACAGTCTTTATCAAGGAGACATTTTCCATTATTCCAGTGGACGGAGTTTTACCCTACTAAAGCAAACTGTTTAAAAAAGCAGGAAGACAAGTTCAGGCTTCAGAAAGCTTTTAGTCCTAATAGGTATATACTTCAGGATTCCCTCTCTCCTCTGCAGTCTTTATTATTTGAAATCTATGCATAAAAACAGTTTAAGTGGAGTCAACTTTACCCTGAGGCACAGCTATAAATCTGTTGATTTCAGGTCTGACTTCTCCCAAGATATGCTAGTATTAGATTTTGGGACTATACAGAGCAAAGTCAGGATCTCTATTCTTAGATGATCTATTTTAAGTTCTGAAGGCACTGGAGAAGCAGAGTTCTAACCTAGGTTTGTAACATTAAAACATCAAAATGATCTATCTGTACTACATCAAGGGGAGCCTGTTCCCCAGTATTAGGACTAAGTTACTAGCATTATTGTCAATTATTCTTCTGTGGCCTCAAGTTGCATACTTACAGTCTGCATAGCCTGAAAAGGAGCTGCTGTTATTGTGACAGAACTGCTACTTGCTGGAGGAGATTGAAAGCTTTGCACTGGTGGCACTGGTGACATGGAGGTGCTTGAAGTAGGCAATGGTGACTGTGGCTCACTTGAGAGAGGAATACTTGCCTGAGGGAAGAACAAATGTAATGAAAGGTCACTTGATAGTTATCAGGCAGTAACAGAAGCTGTTAATTTGTTCTAAAGCTTAGAATCACAGAAGTCAGCAGTTTCTACAGGATAACATTTGGACATGGTAGAGCTACAAAATAGCTTTTGCTTACAATTTCAAATCTTGCTGTGCATTCTCAGCAAACAGTACTTCTATTGCAGTCTCTGCTGATTAAGTGAAATGTGCCTATGAGCTACTATACATACCACTCATTGTAATATTTTCACAATAGAGAGACATTAAATTTTTTTTCCACCACTAAGGAAATATAGAATGCCTTCTGTTCTGTTTATTGGAAGATGATTCTCTAGCTGATATTGAAAGTGACTTCTCTTTTCCAAAGGTATTCAGGAAGTTTAAGGGTTTGTTTTTTTTCCCTTCCCAACTTAATCAGTTATGTTTCAGATTAGAAACAATGCTGAGTTGTCCAGACAAAGCATTAACCAGTATTAAGTCTCATCTGTGCAGATGGCAAAATGAAGTGTTGATTTAGAATACCAATATTTAAGGAATGTAAGACTCTAGACACATTTCAGCAGCCAATATATTTACCTTACCTGTATTTGTGATAGCTCACCTGAGCAACTTCAGTTTTTTTAGCTATCAGTGGCTCAGAAATACGTGAACTTGTCTGATACAGGGGCTGGGAAGTATATTTCTCAGTCTCTTGAGGAAGTGATGCTGATGCCTAGAAGCAGCCATACATACATTGCTATTACAAGAAGCACTGCAGAAAACAAAGTTCTGGGAGAGCTATGAAATACCAGTGCATAAGTTGAAACAACTAGATTTTGAAAGACTGTGACAAACATTAAGTCCAAAGTTAATGTACTAAATAGTCATCTTAACCACAAGCTCCAAGTAATTAGCTTTAGAGATTCAGACTTAGATTACCCTTTACACAAGAGGTTGTACAACTACCCCTGCAAAGTCAGATAATTTTAAGAACTGTAGATTGCCTCAAGCAGTTATTTACAGTGAAGTCTATGACACACACCTGTCTCATTAAATGAAACGGAAAGACATGTCTGATGTTAAACTTCTGGTACACTCTGTCAAGCAAGGCTTCAGAGCCAATCTTTGGTTTGCCTTTGCAAAACCTGTGTGTTCTATAGTTAGCTCACACTTCTAATACTAAGTTTAAGAGTTGCTTATACTTAGATACAGAGCCTAGGGCTAATGACTACCAGTCCTATTCTCATCATGTATGCCATCACAGGTGCATCAGACAGAACTGTACTTGCATACTAGGAGAGCATACTGTCACTGTGAAATGTATTCCCTGGTTGTGCTTGGACCAAAGCTTATCTACTGCTTTCTATGAGAAGCAGGATTGGAAAACAAAGACACTACACTTCAAGCCTAAGGGACTAAAGATACACTGGGCACAAGCAACCTTAATTTCAAACAGTAAGTTTGCAAAAACCCTCAGAACATTCTACTAAATCAGAAGTTTCACATACAAGTTTTCTGGATGCATATTAAACATCAAAATTATTTAATCCTTGTGAGCACAAGAAGCCTGATAATGCTGTAGAAGTGCGAGAAGGTGTCAATAACCAGGCCAAAACTGCTGGTTTAAGAGGCAACAAGACTATCATCCCTGTCAAGTCTGTTATACTACACAGTATATTAAGGAATAGTGTAAGTGTCGCATGCATTTACACTGATAGCATGTACATCAACAAAAAAACACATTTAAAAAGCATGAACATTTCTCCATTATAATCTATATACACTGTATTAGAGAGTCCAACAGGTAAGGCCCAACTGTGTTTCTGAACACAACAACACTTCGCAAGAGATTTTAAGACAGTGATCTGCATAAACTGGAACACTATTTTCAGCTCTAAGCAATATTTGAACCCTAGCTGAAGATTTAACTGCACATAAATGCAGTTAAGAAAGCAAAGTTTGAGGTCTTGGCAGAACATCAGGAAGTCAGATTCCCAGAATTTCTTCAGTTAGTTCTTGAGAGAAAACATTGCATTTTTCAGCTTACACAGAAGTCTGCTATTTCATGACAATATCCATCCCAGTTTATGCATCCTCTGTTGTCATTAGAGGGAGTATACTGCACTGCAACCAAAGCAAATACTTATGCTGCCACATAATACTTATGATGGCACAAGAATAGGCACCACACTTTCTAGCCTACATTTTTCATCCCACACCGTACCCATTTCAAGGGGCAGACTGTTCACTTCGCATTCAGGCAGTATTAAGATTACTTTTCCCAACCATCTTTAAGTATTACAGAATATAGGCTATACTATTGCTGTTACTTAGATTCTATCCCTGTATGTTGTTTAAAAACAGTTATTCAGGAGAGGCCCCACCACAACTTTCTTTAGAGCTAGCTATCACACAGATCTTTGAATGCCAGTGAACCCCAGGGTATATTACCTGGGGTGTCTGTGGTGTCACCAAGTCTTCAGTTTCAGAGCCAGAAAGAGTCTGATCAGCAGATGCTAGGGAAGTATTTGAACCACGCAGTGTCATAGATGAAGCAGCAGCCTTGCAAGAAGAGAAAACTGAGGTAAGGTTTTGAAAGATTATCCTAAATGTTTGGTTTCACTGAAATACTCTGGGCATTTCCAAGTAAACATCAGAATGAGTCAGGAGCTGAAGTGCTTTGACCAGTTAGTCCAAGTTTCTTAGGAATTCTTGTTAGTGGCAAGGAAACCTATTTAAAAGCCAAAGCAGCAAGACACAAGCACAGTAAGTGAATTTAAGGCTCACTTAATAATGCTTGAGACACTATCTTTGGCCTAAGTGAGGATTTCAAAGGTGAAGACATGCACTATCTAGGAAAGATGCAGCATATATTCTGTACACAACTATTAGTTCTGTCTTGAATCTATGGATTAAATATTCAAACTTTGAGCCTATCTTCAACATACTGTTTCACTTCAAGAGATTTTAAACATTTGTTGCTGCTTGGCAAGCAAAAGAGCAGGCAACTGTGTCAACATTTAAGTGATATTAGACTTGCAAGTTACAAAGTTACGTGAAATTTGCTACAAAACTACTGACAACAAGAAAAACAATTAAAGTACCAAGTCTGTTCTAGTGAATAACCTCTGTATCATTCTTTGGCTACAGCTCCACCACTTCAGGGCAGTTCTAACTTCAACTTACTTGAAGAGGCTGTTGAAGAAAATCACTCTGACCTGGCAGTTTCTGTTCTTTTGAAGCTGTAAAAAAAAAAAAGAATGTGTTAAGCAACATCTACTTTTAAATTCAAACAGCATATATAGTTCGTATGCAGTTCTACTTTTTGAAAATATTTGGTGTATGAAGATGCACACCATTTTTCGTGTATGCACCGCAAATATTTCGTTTTAGCATCAGTAAACTACACTCAATTGAAAACTTCTGTTTGTCTTGTAAAAGGGGACAGATTCAATGATAAAAATATTTCTACCACAATAGAGATACCCACTTTACAGATTAAAAAAGCAACTGAATATTAAATCAACTGAGTACTGCATCTTACAGCCCAAGAGCCACCCAGTTTCTTAACGTGGCCCATTGTAGCAAGTTCCAGTTTTCCAAGTGTAGCTAGATAACTGCTCTTCATCCCAAATTCATTCACATAGGGTCTCCAGTACACCACATCTAGACAAGTTTGTTACACAAATACAGCATGTCAATTCTGCAGCTGGGTTCAGATGCACATGCCAGTCAGTGATTACACAAGCACTCCATTTCAAGGCAGATTCACAAGCTTAAGCCACCTCCAGCAACAAATAAGCAAGTGGCTCAAGCTGCCTTTTTTTTAATCAGACATTGGTATTATTTATAATTAGACAAGCTGTCTTCACTATGCCTTACTGATCTACAGCCCAAATAAACCCTGTTAGTGTTCGCAAAAGCTTGCATACAATTTACACTTCCAGTATAACTTACCTACAGGACTACTTGCTGGAGTAACTGAAGGTGGTTGGGATGAACCAATGGCACTTGGTGAAGCTTTATCAAAATCTAGAATGGACTCCTTTGAAAAAACATCATCAGTTGGGAGAAAAAGTTAAACTCTAGATACAAATGAAACATTCTTATTTGACAAATTGCTGTTAGCTAGAGTGAGATTCGTGCATTCAGTGCAAACACACATTGTCAGCACTGTTTTCCCTAACTCAGTAGGAATCGGAGCTTTGTGCACAACAGCAGAGTAAGAAAACATACTTGCATGAAGTTGTAAGTCCCTTGTATCTGAGTCATCAGATCCTGAAGTTTTTCCCTTCTCAATACTGGATCTTTTGGAAGAGTTGAAGTAGAGCAAAATTCTGCAGCTGGCTGATGTACAGGTTTAGGCACCTAATAAGGATGAAAGATTAAATCTAATACTAGAAGCAAGACAAATTGCCTTATCCAATATACTTCCAGCGCTGCCCATAGGTATCAAGACAGTATAAGCCAAGGAATTCTGTGCTGTTATTGATACTTCCTGAATCAAGCTTTCACTTTGTTAAAACAAGTCAGCCTACTGTTGCCAAAACTAGTTAAGCCCCAGAATTAACTCACTTCAATTTCTTACAGTCAAATGCACATAAGACTAAGTTGACTGCATTCAGTGCAAAATTAGGCACCTCCAAAGGAAACCCACATATTTAAGTTGAAGGCCAAAACAAACTTAAAAATCAAAGCTGCATCACTCAAGGCTTAAAACATACTTCCTCCCAGTAAACCCCATGCCAGTAAGTACAGATGTTTTATTAGGATGGCATTTCCTGACACTCTGAAGAAACTGCACCCAAGAGATACATTGCAAGCAGGTTACTCAGGATTAGACGAAAGTGCTTCCACTAATGAGCCAGATACTCTCAATGCATCAGCTCATGCAGAAAATATTGAACTTCTCAAATTTGGGCATGAAAAATATACCTGTGTTCCCATATGGGAGCCTAATTTTGCAGTTAAATAAGGACTTCTGCAGGGCCTTATTGCTCCTTGATTATTTCAGATGGTCCCTTAACAGTTCATCTCAACTGGTTCTCACTTCACTTTAAAAGAGGGAAATGTTTTAACAGAGAATAGGCAAGTCTAAGGTATCAGAAAAATTATGATAATAAACTCCCTAAATAGCAGAAGCCCTGTTATTTACAGAGCAACAATAATACTAGATTGTCTAGATAATCTAACACGTCTTTTGAAAGTACCTTGAAGAAGAGGTAGGTTTGTTATAATTATTGTAAAACAATTTGTAGTGATTCTCTAAAGCTTTGCTGCTCTTATGTTTGTCTGTGCAGCTAGAGGGAGGCAAAGCTGAAGACATTAAGTAGTTGCATTATTTCAACTGGCCCAAATGTTGAGACACACAGGAACATGTGAAAGCCTTTACATTCCTACAGTACAAACATTTGTCTTTCTGATACGAGGTTCCTACTTCAATATATAGTATAAATTTAGTATTTGTACAAAGTCATTAGAAGACTGTATGGGAGAAGGGTGTGTCACGACAGTTAGTTATCACACTAAATTCACAACAAATAGTTGAAATGCTCTTTGTCCAGTTTTAGGATAACAAGCCCAAAACTCTTGCATTTCCTCTTCAACCGTTACCTAAAACTAATCACTAGCATTTGCAGAAGTTCCAATAGCATGCACAGGGAAGAAGCCTGCAGGGTTTTGTGAGCTTCACAAAGCATAACCCATCTACAGCACATCATTAAGTCTGGAGGACTCCATTTCTAATATCTATGTGGCCCACATGATAGCTATTTGTTGAGCTGTAAGAAGTTTTACTTTATTCTAGAGCCAGAAGAGTGCATCTTTGTACTACTGTATCTTAATCAGAATTTCTGATGCACAAGCACTACCTTTAACTACTGACTACCCAAGTTTATATTGCTGTGTGGTTTCTAATAATGAACAGGAACCAAAGCTATTAAAGATTTAAGTGCAGCAAAAAAGATACAGTTGAATAAAGTTAAATCTCAGGAAGTTATAGATTAAGTTACTAGGAACTTTGTATCTTCCTGTCCATCACTTTATCAACCCTCACTTATAACCAGATGTAACACTTGCTGTCATGGTAAATCCATTACAGGGTCAAACTGATTGATGCTTCTCTTATGCTCTTCCTCCTCACTACAGCTTCCTAAGACCAAACTGATTCTGTACATTTGCAAATGGGTAACAGAAGCTGTTCACCTTTAAGTCACTTAACCAGGTGAAGTCTGCCAGCATCTGAAGCTATGAAGATTGTCCACTAGCTGCATAAGTTAGACTTGTACACTGAACACAAACAAGTAAAAACAGCCTCAAGGGCATGGAAGCAGAAGAGACTGCAGTGTTTCACTTGTGGTTGTCAAAGACGATAGTCTTCTGTATGCTTTCACACTTCGTTAGTCTCTCCTTCCCCAGCTCATACTCTGTGCATTATGCTGGTAGCATTCTTTACTTCAACTGGAAAAGCATACAGGGTTACAGATATATTAGGGCTTTACGCTAGGATTGAAACATTGAGACTCTCCATTCTGTAGACGTTTTTTCTAGTTCCTGCATATATTAAAACACACCAGCCAGAAGTAGCTATAGCGAAGTTACCACATAATGATTTGCTGTTTTGCTGGTACTTAGATGTTCAAAGCTAGAATATTCTAAGTGCAATACAGAGCATACACAAAAGAGCATTAGCAAGTTAAAGTATTTTGGGCTTTATGCCTTTATAAAAGAGGTGCTTAAAAAAAGAAACAGGTACCTGATATCCTTAAGATGGTTTTAAATGAAGTTTTCTTTCTAGCCTACAGTTAGATGCTGGTTTTGGAAGTCATTACAAGCTGGTAGTCAATTATGAGTGCAGTAATCTGTTAGTCCAGCTCAGATTTACACATGCGGAGATCACTTAAAACTAGTGGTTCAAGCAACAACCAAGTTAGAGTTTTACACAGCACTGATAAATTTAGGTCTAATTTGTCATAACAATGTTTCTAAAACCTAATTTCAACACTACTTATACATTCAGTAAAAACTGTTTTAACATATATCCAGAAAACTGACTAAAAATGGAGTTGAAGTATCTAGAATTCATTTTAGGACCTGTTAAACCATTGCAAATAAATGCAAAGGCACAGTGACCACTGAGGAATTTTACTAGTCAAAAGTACCACTATACGAGGCACTCCTGTTTAAGCTTGATTTTAAGATTGAAGGCCTCTTTCTATATAACACTAACATACATTTGAACCACCTCACACACTAGTAAAACTCCATTCTGTGATCTAAGACTTCAATTCCTCTTTAGGTTTCTTAGCTACAGAGCACTAAGTGAGATAGAATGGCAATACCTAACCTGTAATCACAGTGATGACCAGCTGTGCCATGCAGATATACAACTAACATTTGCTTGCTACTCACAGCAGTATTCACAGCAGGTACGAATTAAACGGCACTGGATGACAGCACAAGACAAAATTGTTCTGCTTTCACATAGCAGGCCACAAATTCAGGTCTAACAACGTTTGCTGGTCCACAGGCTGCACAAACTCTTAAATAGAAAAACAGTTTAACAGGCCTGCACATCAGCTCACTCCACCATCTTAGGCCCAACTTCTTAGATATTGCACTTTATGGCACATTAGGTTAAATAATTATATTTTAAGATCTCAAAACCTAGCAGTTTATTAAAAGATCCCAGAGCTCTAACAGTTATTTCAGGGAGTAAAGAAGGGTTATTTCAGCTCCAGAAAGCAGCAGCAACATAGGCCTTTATTCACCATGCCTAGATCCCTGTACAAGGTCATTTATAGGATCCCCCCAGGAGCAAGATGGATCCAGCTATAGCACTGCATTGCTTCTTCTTTCTTCATATAAGCAAAGGCAAGAGAAATCTCATTATCCAAAAAGTTTATTACTTCAATTGTTCCCTATATGCAAATCACAAGTCAAAATTATCTCCATTTTTCAAAAATTGGTTATGGAAACTAGCTAGGTTGACAGTACACCATTTTTTACTCATTCAATATACTTTATATTAGAATTTGTCCATAGCTACTAAGCAAAAATAAAGCTATGGTCTACTATATAAATCCAAGTTTGAATACTTTAAAAATGTGCTTTTTTACTTAATTCAACAACACAGATTAAGTAATCTCACATTCCAACATTTATTTAAAGTTTTATTTTGATGACATGCACACCTGCACATTACAATGAAGGCTGCAAATTTCTTCAACTGACTGGAGACCCTCCTTTTTCCTTACTTCAAAGTTTTGTCTAACACTTAAGCCATCCATCTTTCCGTATTATATAAAAATAAGAGCCCTGTCTCATTTGGAAGTATCTTGCATTTAAGCTTTAAGGTAATCTGACATCAGAAATTCCAAGGCATCTTAAAATGCTTGAGACTACTCCAATACTTGAGATAGTTTGTTACAGTAATACTACACACAGTTCAATGCACAACACCTATGTGTGCTCAGAGTTACTTAGTGAGGCAACCAGGTTTTGTACCTGTACCACCACCACCAGTGGATACAAGATTCTACTCAGCTTGAGGGTAGAGATGAATCAAGCTGAAACACCTTAATCCCATTTTGTCACCCAGTGCTGCATGTTACATACTCTTTTAATTTCGTGTTCAACCTTCTGTTTGCGCTCCCGCCTCTAGGCACAAGAACATCCATTTTTCAGTTATGCCAAGTTTAATGACAAGATTTAAGCTTAATCATTTGCTACAAGCAACATGGAATTAATTGATTTCTCCTTTCTTGCAGAAACAAGGTAGTAGTGCTGAACAATTCTCTTGTAAACAAGGTTGTCAATTCCCTGTATTTTCTTCCTGAAGTTTAACTCTAAACACTGCTCTTAACAACATGACTGAACTCTGCTTTGCCTACCATCTTATCTGTTTTCACAGTATCAGAATTGTTGCTACCCAAGCACAGGTGAGAAAGAAGGTAACCAGAGGCTAGCAGCCTGCTCAGCTGTAAGCCCTGCAAAAGCTTTCATTTTACTTTTCTAAAACAAACTATGCTATTGTTAGACTTTCCAGGACAGCAGTATGGCTTACACATTCAGCTGAAAATACATATTTAAACACCTGTACAGTTGGTATTGCTTGATCTAGATGTTCGATCTGAGTCAGCAGCTATTTTAATCAAAAGCCTAAAAAATTACTCAAGTGCTATTTGCATACAGCCACAAAGTATTTGGTCCCTGGATGAGTCATACCTGCTTTGTACTGATAATAGTGGACAGAGACAATAGCTGGGGATGAACTAATTCTTCTGTCTTACACATAAAGCAATTATTCAGGCTCAAATACAGCAATACTGTGCTGATGTAAAAAGCAAAGCAGACCATCTTGCTATTCAAATATAAAGTTTAAGTACCAGAATTATTTCCCCCAAGAAAGAATGAAATAGGAGTCTGAATACAGGCCTACAAAATGCACCTTATAGTGGTTCTGCTAATAGGTAGCTTTAGTCCAAGACACTAGTGTCAAAAGCTTATGACAGGTAATACTACATATGCCAACTCACTTCTTTAGGTTCCATATCAAACTTCTTTGGCCCCATCTGTTCCTTTGGCCCAACACTCGCAGCTCCCCAGGACTTCGGAGGGTTCTGTAACTGCTGTGACGACACTTGCTGCTGCCTGTCAGCTTTTTCCCAAGCCTCTCGAGCCTCCTGCTTCTTTTGTTCTGGCTCCTCCCTAACACGTGCAGCCCAAGCCTTCACAGGCTCCTGCTTCTTTTGCTCTGGCTCTTCCCTAACAGGCATTTCCCATGATTTCACAGGCTCAGGCTTCTTTTGTTCTGGTTGCTCCCTAGTTGGGGTTACCCAAGGTTTCGGAGATTCCTGCTTTTTTTCTGGTTCTTCCTTAACTTTGGTTACCCAAGGTTTTGGGGACTCCTGCTTTTTCTGTTCCTGCTCTTCCCTAACTTTTGCTACCCATGGCTTAGGTGATTCATGTTTCTTCTGGTCCTGCTGTTCCCTAACCTTTGCTACCCAAGGTTTAGGGGACTCCTGCTCCTCTCGGACACGTGCTACCCAGGCCTTTGGAGCTTCTTGCTTCTTCTGTTCTTCCTCCTCAACACGGGTCTCCCAGGGCTTTGTAGGCTCACACTTCTGTTCTTCCTGTTTAACACAAGCTTCCCAAGGCTTTGGAGAATCTGATCTTTTTTGTTCTTGCTGCCTAATACAGGCTTCCCAAGGCTTTAAGGTCTCTTGTTTCTGCTTCTGCTCTTCAATATCAACAAGCATCTCCCATGACTTTGGAGGTTCTTGCTTTCTAGCACACTCAGCTTCCCAAGATTTGGGCTCTTCTGGCTTCTTCTTGACAGAATATTCTGCTTCAGGCAAATAACGCCTGTTGAGAAACTATATAGACCAAAGAAACTTAATGGCTCCCCATAAAACATTTTGCTACTACAGTTCAGGTCAGTTAAGTTAGGTCACGCAGCTACTGAAAATTTCTGACTTAAAGCAGAGCCCAGACAGTTTAAGCACTAGCCATAGAAACAATGTGGACAGCCATGGCTTTATCCTACAGCACCGCAAACTAGCTTTGCTTGGCATGCCACAGATTCACTCAGCTCAAGTAAGTTTCACTTGTGCTGTTCAGGACTGTTTCATGCTTCTCTGTTACCCTTATCCTCAATGCTAACTGATGGTCCCAGGCAGTGGCAACATCAAGTTCAGTCATGATTTTTATAAAAGGCCTCCTCCTAAGCATCTAAACTGCTGTGGTACTATATCAGTAAACATTCTGCTAAGTGTAGCATCACCATCTCCCTCAAACATCTTTGGCCCTTTTGAACTCCAGTAACCAAGTATAACTGTCATTCTTAATGGAGTTTAAATAGTAAAAAGTCAGATTCTCAGATTTAGTAACCCTGGACTTCCACAACTTCAGGCTGTGTTTACTGTCAGTGTTTGAGTTTAATGAAGATGTCCTGAAGTTTTCCTAGGTTACTTTGTCATAAACAGGAAGCAAATATGTGAAGGGAAGGATGTACAAGGCTCACTGGCTGAGACTTTTCTGACAAGTCACCAGAAAATCTTCAGTCAGGTAAGAGCATTACCAGTAGGTTACAAAAACTTGTTCTAGAGTACACCCTCTAGTGGGATACCTAGGAAAATCAGCATTTTAAGAACCAGTATTTTCTCTTACATAAAGACACCCCTCCCCACTTTTTGAACCAAGCCTAATAGCTTTTATGCTATTGCCAGTTGAAGCTTGAACACTTACCTCAGGAGTCTGAAGGGCTGATGAAACAGGCCTACACACCCCTGTGCACACAAGTCTGTTTTGGAATCCCTACTTCTGACAAATTAGAGCATTCTCAACCCCACCAATATCAAGTCTACTACAATAAGCTTATCTTTCAGAGACACTTTTAGTAGATATGTATTTTCTTGATCTTGTAGTACACAAAAGATCAGTGTGTTTCCACCCTAAAGGCTGATGCTTTGGTTTATTCAGGAAAGTGCCAGAGCATTAAAGTACTATATTGCTTCATGTAATCATGCCCCTTTTATCCCAAAACACCCCAGAGAAGCCCTATATTTGTGATGAGAAATAGAAATGCAACCAAACCTTTAACGCATAAAGCAACACCTAAGTTGCCATTCAGACTCCCCTTTTAAGTTTAAAACAGGGCTGCAGAAATGCAGTTATGTTTCTGATAAATTACAATACTAAAGGAAGGCCATTAGCAGCATAGCATCTTACCTCCTGTGGCTGTATTTCAGACTTCATAAGCTCCATAATGGATTCTAGAAAAAGGATGTTAATTTTTTTCAACTGATCAAATGCAGAAAGGCACACCAAACAGTAGCAAGTCTTTAATCCTATTTAAATAGTACCACCGATTGCTAAACCAGGTATTCTGAAAGTTCAGCTTGCCATTCAACATGCAATTTAGACAAGCTTATTTTTTAATTTGGTTTTACATTTGCAGAAGTTTAGGGTTAAGCAAGAAGCATTTTGTAACATCCATAAATTTGTTATTGTAATACATAACATTCTTAACACAAGACATTTCTCACATCTTCAACATTGAGGCTTGCTCAGAAGACAAAAGCATCTTATTACTAGGAATTAGATTTTTTTCATAGAATCATTAAGGTTGGAAAATACCTCAAGGATCAAGTTCAACTGTCAACCCACACCACCTAACTCGCTAAACCATGTCCCTAAGCACCATATATACAGTATTACCCAGAATAGCTGCAAGACTTTCAGGTTCCATTTCAGTTACTACATTGCAAGTAAGCTATAGCACAGGATTAAATTTAGCATCAAGCTATGCAAATTCAACACTCAGTTCAAGCTTATCCCAATATTATGATATAGAAATTGAATCCTGTAATATTCCACCTGGTTCTTTGACAGACTCTCCTTTTGACATCTGTCTTGTTCTCTCAGATTTTCTATTTACTTCTTCTTCCAATTCTTTTACTGGCACAGTGGTGCGAGGAGTTGGAATACTTTCAAAGTAGCCAGAGTCTAGAAGTTTGGATAACAGGTCCTTCATGTGTTTATCTGAAGAGTAAAACCCATGAAGTTAAGATATGAAAACTTGAAACTAAGGAGGATTCAGATTACAGATCAAGATGCCTTACTTCCTCCCTTGATATACCAAGTTCCCACATCTTACCGAGTTACAACAACAAAATGTTTTAGTAAAGGAAAGTATTGGTTAAACTGCTTTACACATTTGAGCTGGAAACATCTTTGCAATCCACAGGTAAGACTGCAGCTTGTGTTTAAATGCACACAAGGTAAGCACTGAGGCACCTGGTCTCCCACACGCTTAGACAGGGATCTGTTCACCATCTATAAACTGGCCAGCATTGATACTAAAAGCATGTTGTGCAGACTGTAGCATAGATAAAGCTAAACAAAGTCACTATGGAACTGCCCTACGTGACCCTCTTCCCAGTGGCAGAATAGTAAGCCTGAGAAGCAAAGTTAACTGCAAAAAGCAAGCTAATGGGAAGAAAGCAAGAGACTGTTCCAGACCAAAATTAACCCTCTGAAGTTTTGGAAAAAAGTCAAAGTTGATATGCTTGAAGAAAAACTTTGCGCACTCTGAGAAGCGCTGCCCACTTTCATTCTTTACATAAAGAAGACACAGCAGCTTAGAGCAGAGAGTAAGACCTCAGAAGTAGCAGTGATACTAGAAATTGTTTCAGAAGAGCTTCAAGCAGGGCAGCCTTGAAAACAGAAAGAATATTCAGTGAAAGACAACTCCTACCAGTGACAACCACATGAACAAGAATAGCAGCTAGAATTTAATACAGATACTTATAAAAATTGTCTTCCAAGGCAATAAAAGCTAATAAAGGAGTCATAAAAGCTTTATTTGACATTTAGCTCGCACACAAAAGGATGTAAAACTGGCACTGAAGGCTAGAGATAGTGACAAAATAGTCACAAAAGTTGTTTAGATGACAACCAAAAAGCTACAAGAGTTTGGAGTCTAAGATAACTAGGCGACTATCAATGTCAGCTGATACAAGGCTAAAGTCATCAAGTCATCAGTCTGCAGCAATAGAAGTCCAGCTTGGACTTCGTCCAGAACTGTAGGAAAAGAGTTAACACTTAGTTGTCAGTTCAACTATCTGTACATGGAAATTAGATAGGGTACATTAGTGCTCTGGCCTAACAGTTTCAACAACATTGTCAATGACAAAAGATAGATTACTGCCACACAGCCATTACAAGATTGGCATAAACAGGACAAGCAAGGTCTGTTTGCAATAGGAAAGACAACACAATTCAAGTAAGGACAGCTTCCTCACAAGCAAGTTCTAAATAAGAACAGAGCACGGATGTTGGCTTACAACCAGGGTTTTTGAAACTAAGCCACAGATAAAAGAAAATATGTAAAGCCCCACAGATTTAGGTGTGCTTGAAAAAATGAGGACATTAGCAACAGGTCCAAGTAAGACTGCACTGTGCCTGATTAGAAATCACAGCAGGTTCCATTAATGACTATACTTCCTCAGCATGGTATCCTGCACAGTATTCAGACAAACAGGTATGAGCCTGGAATTCCTACAAGAGATAATCTTCAATGATGGGGGACCTTCAGCCTGGGGCCAAGAGAGCTTTGTAATACACATCACTATACTCAACTAAGCATTCCATGTCTGGGAACAGCATTCCAATCTTAACCCATTTGCACATAACTATCCCAAAAGCTTCCCACTGTTGGTTCTGTAAGGTATTAATGTATCAGCTTGTGAATTACTACCATCATTACTCCTCAAAGAGGTGCTAGTACTTTGGTAGAACACGTAAAGACTTACTGTATTGTTATTGATCTGTACTTAAAAAACAGGACTTAGAATAAACAGCAGTTCATCCTTGGAGAACAGTTACACACAGCATTTGAAAGTGCTTACATTTAAGACATTTAAAGAACACACAAATTCCAGATTTCCATGTTATATCTCTAGATGAGACACTTACATGTTGTTCCAACCACAGGTTTCTCACTTCCTTCTAGAAGGTCCCAGAAGTAAAGAGATGATTGTTCCATCTGGTCTTCAACACTAAAACAAATCAGTTTTATAAGGGAGAATCACAGCCAAGATCAAGTCCTGTAGTATCCCAATACCCCTCATTTTAAGACACTGACTAATGTTTAGCCTTCCAAATTAAGGCTGTATAGAATGAATCCTAAGCCTATTATCCACTACTGATTCAACTGTATATGATTTAATCTAGTAAATGTAAATTCTTTTGTTGGTAATTAAGACAGATTAGAGAACCTAGGACTGCCCCACAAGACCATATGGCTGGACTTCATTCCAAACCAGGATTCCGAGAGGGAAACAATTGCTGTTTAATACGCTGATCACCTTGTTTATTGGATGCACATGTGCAGGGACTACCATCAGCAGCACCTGCCACTCTGCTAGTTATTGAAAAACTTTCACAGGCCCAAGATCCACACCCCACACCCCCAGACAAGGGATTTTGAAGTCCACTATGATGAAACTGAGTATCCCAAAGAAATGGATTATGCTTCTTGTGGAAGTTTAATACAATAAGAATTACAAGCTAGAAATAAAGTTAATTCACTGGGATGACAGTCTCATATTGTATGGCTTTTTATAAGTTAACTTGGAAAGAACAGCTGCTTAACAGCAAAGATTAGGCAAGTTTAGCATACGACAAGTGATTAGAAGTTTCAAGAACTTAAGTCATGTTTGAATAAAGTTATTTATCCATAAAGTGTTTTATCTTACCACCTAGTAACTACTTTTTCCATATTTAAATATAATTTTCACTACACTATCTTAAAGCAGACAGGCTGTCATCATAAACATAAGCCATCATAGTACAAACATGATAGCAAGTTAGTACTCTCATACATTACATCTGTTTACAACTCATTACTTTAAAGTGTATGACACTTAGTGCAACAGTATCAAAACCTTCAGTCAATTTTTTAAAACCTTGAAGCTAATAGCAAGAGAGCCTCAGGACTATCACCCTACATTCCTTTGGAAAAAAGCAGCACATCTGGATCATGTAAATGGAATATAGAACAGTTTTCCTGTGTTTACCACACCTCTCATTTCATGAACAGCAAGACCTCAGGGAAGCAACACTCCAGCAGCCTCCCTGCTTATGATGGTCTTGGATTATCTCCCCTCAAACCCACAGGGAGACATAAGATGGCAGGGCTTGTATGTAACTTGCAAAACTGAGTCTGTAATTACTGCAGCTTTCCTTTAATGCTCAGAGTGAGGTAAATCTGCCACATTCCTCATCACAGAGTAAAGCAAGTGTACTGAACAGAATTGTAATGAGTGTCTCAAAACATAGTATTTCAAGACAACAGTGTCAACCAGAGGACATTTACTGTAATGAATGAAGCATATCCATTCAACAAAAATCTTGAACTTACCTCAAGTTTTCATTTCTTTCTGGACATGTCAGTTTTGCAAATCTTATGAGGTAGTCTAGTTCTTTAGAAGGCAAGTATATTGCACCATTCACACCACCTTTGAAATCTTTCTGAACATGCTCTTGAGTGAAGTTCTGCAGCACATACTGGACTTGAAGTATTGTACGCAGTTTTTTCTTCTCTGCTTCAAGCTTTAATAGACTTTCTCTTCGCTGAGCTTTCCTCTGTGCTTTCAGCAGCTATTTCAATACATGAATTCAACAGTTAAACATGATGCTTTAACAGGATTCTAGGATAAAACTCACTGAGTTCCAGCATTGATTATCCTACATTGATCAAACTATTAATTTTGGTTAGATAACAGAAGCCCTAATTCTTCAGATACCCAAGATCTTTCAAGTTCTTCCTCTGGAACAGCTCCCCATTTATCTACTAATTCTCTACAAATCCAGCTTTTAGTCAAACTGTACACTAGTAGCTTCACTCATTATATGCCTTTATGATATTTGGATCTCAATTATGCCTACTGGTTGCTTCATTATAACAGCTTTCACAACTGAATATAAGGAATTGATAGAATTGATACCAATGCACAATCCAAGCCTAGCTGACATTTAACATTAACAACATGAAGTTAGCAATGCAGAAGTCATCTCAAATTTCTCCTAGTGACAGAACTGCCTCTTCACTTTCAAATACTCCAATATGAATGATACAGCAGAATCCTACAGTTACTATATCTGCTGGCAGAGGACCGAAGTACTCATTAACTAAGCAACAACACAAGCTACAGAACATATGCAGCCCCCATGCATTTGACAAGTTTCTCATCATGTACTAATAGAACTATGCAGCAGAAACTATCCAAGTAACTGCAGAACTTAAATTACCTCAATGTTGAAACTGTTAGACCAGAGCACTAATACACCCTAATTTCCACATACAGATAGTTGAACTCACAACTAAGTGTTAACTCTTTTCGTACGTAAATGCCTCAAAAATGCTAAGTTTCTTTACAAGATCTATGAAGATTTAGTTTTCTAGAATGCACTGTAAAGGATAAGGATGTTGCCAGAACAGCCCCTAGTGCTCCAGTAATGGATATTGGCTGCAGAATCCATACTAGTAGGTGCAGAGCCAAGGAAAAAACAGTGGGTTAGCTTTTAAATATAGCATAAGTCCAAGAACAAACATGAACTGGTAGAAGGTAATGCTGGATTACTAAAAAAACCTACAGAAAGATACCCTGGGTCATAATATTTCATTTCTGATGTATTATGGGCACCTACATAGAGGAAAGCAATATGAAGCAATCCAAGTTTTAACATTCAGCACCGTAGTTCCTATGTTCAACATACAATGACTGAGGGAACCCAAAGCAGCAACACTGCTGAAAAGGCTCTTGAATCTCCACTCACAGTGCTTTGAGAGATTTACTGCACTACCTGGAATTACTACATATACAAGAAAATCCTCTCTAGCAAAATGGTTTAGGTCTCAGTCAACATGGAGACAAGCCATTTTACCAGTCCTTCGGCATTCTGTAAAAGGCAGAGAAATTATGCCAGAGCAGTGACTAATCATGTTTAGCATCCCCAGCACTACCTTGGATCAGATCTTTTCATAAAGATTGTGTTTGTTTGAGCCAAGAGACCAGTTTCTCCAGAGAGAACAGTTGGTTACATAAAAATAATGTATGTAGTGCTTTAAACCCTGAATAAAGACCTAAATAAAAAACTAAATCCATGACTTGCCATTAGTGACAACTACAGCAGAATAAGTGGCAAACTCCACAAGCTTCAGTAAAATTCTACTGAGAGCTGTACTGCTCACTGAAACCAAAGTGATTTAACCCCAGTGTTTTCCCTCACTTGAAACAAACCATTCAGTTTGTAAGAGATCTTTGGATGTCATCTAGCCCAGCCTCCAGAAAAAAATGCTATACTGAATCAAGACCAGATTGCTTAGAGCTTTGTTAAGTCAGGTCTTGACAAGACCCAAGGACAGATTTTACTACTTCTGTAGGCAGCCTGCTCTAGTGTTCCATTATCCTGAATGATCCTTTTCCTCCTGTCTAATTTAGAGCCTACTATTTCAATTTATGATCATTCATTCTCCTACCACACACCTCAGCAAAAAACTGTCTCCATCTTTTCAGTAATCTTTTTTGGTATTTGACAGCTAATATTACAGCTCCTGCCAAGCCTTCACTTTACCGGGCCCAACAAGCCCCATTCTTACAGGATCTCTTCACAGATCTCATACTCCAGCCCCTAGCCATTTGGAGGCCCACCACTGGGCTCACTGAAGTTTATCTATAGCCTTTGTGTACTAAGTGACCAGAACTAGACACAACTGGTTAACAAGTGCCAAATAATCAGTTCTCCTTAATATACTGGTCCTCAGTCTAAGTCTGTCCTTCACTGCTCCAGAGGTACACTTAATTTACTTTGCCTGCTGCCCACAAGGACCTGCATGTCCTTTCCAGTAGAGCTGATCCCCTGACAGTCTACACTTATGCAAGGGATGAGCCCACCTCAGGCACAACCTACCAACGAGATGGTTAATGGTTTCAAACCCAAGTAAACTGGAGTTCTCAAACACAGCGGCATTCCAAAGACTCAATTACTAAAGCACAAGTTCTCACAGGGTTACACAGTAAATATTGTGGAGCTCAATGGTACACAAAATTGTCAACATTTACTCTGCTCTACTCACTACTCTAGATAGTTTAAGCACATTGGTCCCTCAAGTTCCAAGAGACAAACTTCCTAGTATATAAGTCTAGCCATTAAAAAAGTAGCACAAACTTTGCAGTTACCTCCTGACAATATAGGAAAGAGCATTTTATACTTACATCTTGGCTAAGTCCTGAAAAAGTCTTCTGAAGCTCCTTGGCAAATTCCAAGTTGTGTACTACTTCATCATATTTCTCCACTGCATCCTACAAAGGAACAGAAAAATGTATTTTTCATGCTTGAGACTACTGGCTACATCTCAATCCCCTTGTATTTAAATTTTCATTGAGAACTAGTCAGTGTGTACTTCTCCAAAATCATAAGTTTTTAAAAGCTACTATGTCTGTAACTGGTACTTTAAATTTAGTTGTGCATATCATTCACCCATGACTGAGGTACAGTAGAAAGGCAGTTCATACCACCACACAGATATCCTACAAGTTTGTATTAGACTTTCCAGGCAACATCTTGTGCAATACTTGGTATACTAATGTTGAAACAGGAAAGCCTGGATACTAGTTATTTCAGATTTCAGTTTTCATTTTGTTGCCATAGGTCTCAGCAATCAGAGGGAAACAGCTACTTCAAATCAGATACTGATACAAAAGCCTGGAAGGAATACAGGAGACAGACAAGTTCAACACAGATCTTCTACCCTGATGCTTAGTCAAGTGCCTTTATAGATAATTTGTACAAACATTAAAAACAAAGCAATATAGAAGGCAAGTCATACTTTCATTTAAAAGTCTTTCAAATTTATTTTCTACAAATAAAGCAGTGTTCCTGTCTTCACTAATGGTTTTAGCCAATATTTTACCAGCCAGTCTTAAAAAAGACTACTTGAAGTAGATCATTAATTTGCATCTTGATACACCCTATTTTTATGAGTTTTTCCCCACTGAGGAGTCAGTTCATTTCCAGAAGTCTCCTTCACAGCTCTGAAGATAGCAAAATGCTGTAGTTCAGACATGCTGCCCATATCCTCACACCATAAGGCATGCCTGGGAAGTAAAGTTTAATTTCAGTTGTTCACATGTGCTTTATACTCAGTTTGGTTTATACTCATGACATATCAGAAGTTTTTCTAGAATGGGACAGTCTAATATAAAGCTCTTTCGAAGTAGTATTAGTGTTGATTAGTGTTTCATCAGTACAGTCACAAAAGCTTAATCTACCATCCCAATAAGATTTGGGACATGTGAAAATTCCATATGTGTTCCTAAGCAATTGGTAAACAAGTTACACATTCATCTGTTCAAACATTTCAATTGTTCAGCTACTCATATTCGCTTATTTGTAGTATAATAGACATTACTAGGCTTAAATGCTACTCAAACAACAAAGTGCATGACTTACTGTAAAGCACTCATCTGATAGTTTAAGTTGTCCTTAGCACAATTTATCAAGCAACTTTTAAAACTAATTAACAAGTTCACTTAGCACTTGGGAGAATGACTTCTAAGACCCTAATGCCCACACGTTTGACATTTGAGGAAGACTCACAATTTAACACCAACTAGACAGATTGTGGTAACTGTGCTTAACCACACAAATCCCAGAGTAAAACTCCCTACCTGGAAACATCAAGAACAGTTACCACTGTTCTGATGAGAAACTATAATTCAGCCCGCAGGAAAGCAATGGCTTTCGTTTGTCAAACCTGTTATTAACATTCATTAGCACTGAGGAAAGCCTGCTCAGCTTGCAAAACAGCAAAATATTGCCAGTGAGAACATTTCACTTGCTGGAAGCTCCTCATTTTTGAAACAAATGTTTCCTAAAGTAAGGATAGCATGCACAGTAGCTCTGGCAGGCATGCAGTATACATAATTACAGTTTAATCCAAATTGTTTGCAAAACAAGTTCATCACCAGATGTGCACTGGTGATAGCGATGAAAAATACAGATTACATCAAGTTACATTAGAGCTCCACTGTACCATAGGCAGGTAGTTTTAGGCAAGCATCCAAACTATTAAGCCCTGCTCTAGCTTCAATCACCAGGTCCCAGTATTTGTATATACATTGTGAATTTGCATACAAAAGGTACAAATGCAGTATTTCCATATGTTAACCACCAAAACAAAGGGCTTGACTAGATTATCAGTTAAATACTGAGTTGATATGTACTTCTATGATAGTCATCTGAACAGTTTGACTACCACTGGTCAGCTCAGTAGCAAGATGGAATCTAATTCTCCATTTTAGAAGTCAGAGATATCCTAGAAGCTGGGATAAAAACACTAATACTTAAAAAGTTAAGCTCAGCAGGGAATACTGAAAGCCAGTAAACAAGTTAATTGCCATTTTCCAAAGTCAGTGCTGCTGGACACATCTGCAATGAAAACATCTACAGAATCCTTCCCCTCTTTAGCTCCCCACATCTTAATTTCACTTTCACCTAACAGCTTTTCCACAGTCTAAGGTGTATACCAAAGATAAATAGTCAAGTTTAGAAGTAGCTTTAAGACACATTCAAGACTAATCATACTTACATAGAATACTGTTCAACAGTCTCGCTGTTAGTGACAGAAGAAAACAGATTGTATTTAACACCTATGACCTAAATGCAAAAGGCTCTTACCCACCTGACTCCAGACTGCATTTAGAGGAACTAAAAGGTCAACCTACTTCAAACCATCAGATTTAATTTATTTACTTCTACACTTGAGATGGCAAGAGACTACAGATTTTGTAGTTAAGTGCTAAATGATCATTCAGTTCAATAAGTTCACTCTGCTTTTAAGTAGCAAGTTATCATTTCCCCTCTTATCGCATTTATGTCTAGTTCTCATTTACACATTCAGAGTAAGGAAATAGTATTTGTGTTCTCATAATGCTGCACCGTGACAAAGATAACGGTCAATGAAGTATTTTTCCAACTGGTTCATCAGCAGGATCAGCACTACCACTGAAGTGTCAGTGCCCTTTATCACACAATTGTTCTTTAGTATGGGTGTGAAGCACATTTTAAAAACGTCGCTCCTATCTGACTACAGTAGTAAACCCTTTGGATTATGTGACACTGCCACTCTGACATGCTTAAGAAGCAATAGCTTTCATGTTATAGAAACCCATTTTTAGTTCTAGAATCCATTCTAGTACAATACAGAGAAAAGCCAGAACCACCATTTTAACATCAGGCAAATTTAAGCTAGCTCCACAAAGCAGAAGACATTTGTTGATCAGTGATCTTGCATCCTGGCATTCCAAACTCCAGCAGCCTTAGGTACAAAATAGACATACTGTTCTAACAGCATTTGAGAATGCTGGTGACTCCTAGCTATCTAATGGCAGCACTAGAAGGACAGGAGAGTATTCCCAACTAAGTCAGTAACTCATAGGTAGATCCGCAGATCAGGGAAGCCATTAGGTCCCATGTAAGTTAGACCCACGTCTTCCCTTCTACCAACAGACCATCTTGTCAGTTATACTTTAACAGTTACTCATAACCAACGGCACTGTGCAGTGAACAGGAAATTTCAAGTAATACGTGTTAATGAAGAAGTCATAAGGATTAATTAGCTACCCCAGAAGTCTTGAGTTCTAACACTGCAGAGCCATATAGGTAAGTTGTATACAGACACAAAGAAATAAAGGTGCAGGAGCACTGAAGCTAAAAGTCTACAGAACAAAGATAAACAAGGACCTTCTATTGCAACAGTACACAACATGAAGGTTAAAGTAGGAGACTTAAGGCTTGTGGGCTCACCATTCAGCCTAATTACCAATAATTTGTCCATTCGGTTTTGTGAAAAATGCCATTGTAAGCCTGCAGGCATTACTTCTGTAAAACTACACCACCACCTCCTTCAGCAGCCTATCCCTTCTGACATGTTTGAAGGTTTTGGGGCCATTCACTCCTGCATAAAGCGAACTTACCAACTGGTCTTGATTGAGGGCTTCTCCCTTCTTCAGGCGATCTTTGTAGTCTTCTAGTTTGAGCTGTAGGAAAAACCAATGTAAACTTTTTATATTGATTTCTGCCTAATGTGGATTATTAGATATGAATGAAGTTACATATTCTTTCCGTATTTTAAGTCATCTACATACTACAACAGAATAGGAATTTTACTACTTCCTCTCATTTTCAGGAGAAAGGAGCATAGAAAACTTTGCTATGCCTTTGTTTCAGCAATCTCCGGGACTGCCTACTTCCCTTTATCTTCAATCTTTCGTTTCTTACTTGCTACCTTTGTTTCATTTAAGAAATACTAATGCATCAACTGTAGATTGTTAAGGGGCTCCAAACACATCCAGTGTCCTTATTTTAAATTAGGCTTTTTTAACTAAATTCCAGCATTGGCTTGGAAAAGCTATCTTATCCTTGAATAATCCTACTTAATTTTCCAGAGCATGTCTTTCAAAATCTGGCTTCATTTATGTCATCAATACTTTATAGCACAATTTCCTAAGAAAGTGGACTCATATGTTCAAGGAAGAGAAAAGATTTGTTTCTAATGTACTGGAACAGTCTTTAAAAGCTGATGAAAACCATACAAAACTAAACCATTGGGTATTACAAGCTTCTTTATACTCACAACAAAAAGAAAGGGGAGATCACTGCCATGAAGCTGAATACATTTCATTTGTGTGTCTACCCACATAGGGTTTACCGACACAGTACCTATAGGAACCTAGGACTAGGAATACTTTCTACTCATTCTGGTAAATCACACATGCATTTGTTGGTGAGACCATATTGTCATTCATGTGAAAAATCAAAGATACTTAAGAAATTCACAACAATAAGCTTCCTTGGACAGAATTAGAATACAACACAAAGTTGATTAATCACACAAGGAAAACATGCTTATCTGGCATTATTCAAAATCACAGCATGATTCATGACGTGAGACAGCAGTAATACTGCATCTCCTGCAGGTGGATCAAGTCCCCTAGCCACATGGCCAGAAGTCTGATCTACTCCCTCTTCTCAACCCAAGACATAACACAAAGCTTTTCAGACATTTAGAAAAGCAAAACGTATTCATACAATTGCTTTACTTGTAGTCCTGACCCAGTACCAAAAGCATCAGCACCATTATTTCTTTTATCTTACAGAAAATAGCATTAAAAATCATGCACACAGCCTTCAGTCACCTGGCAATCAACTGCAAAGTCTTAGAATGCAAAACCCTGACCAGCTATAACCACAATATTATAGGTGTATCATTATATCAGTTCTTACTCATATTAACAGTGTCCTGTATCTAACCCCCCCCCCCCCAAAAAAAAAAGCACAGTTCAAAGCAAGCAAGGAGGCTTTGGAGACTTTCTGTTTAAAAGCTTTCTAGTGAATAAGATTTGTCTATATTTAAAATACAGAAGTCAAAGATTTATACAAAGTGAAGTGTAATACATATTTAATATAATTTGATGTTTCCACAAGTGAGGGGAAACACTGTTCCCAATTTCCAGTTTTACATCCATCTCTACCTCCTAGTATTAGATGCGTGTAATCAATAAGAGAAATACTAAGATTTCTGCAAGACTATAAACCATCTCCAAATCAGTTACAAGTTAGTTCTGAACCAATTCAGTCTATCAGAGAAGCATCCCCAGTTTTGATCAACATTCAGTTACTTTTACCAGCTATCAGACATGCATTGTAAAGCCAGCAGCTGAGAACAGGTTTATGGTTAGCTGCATTTCCCATTCCCTGAAACAATGTTACACTCATACAATGTCAAATGCGAGTAGCCCATTTCATAACAGTAAGAGTAAAGAACACCATTCTTTACTATACAGGGGTTATAAACGATAACAAAAATCTGCTATCAAATCTACATTTAGGTCCTTTCATAGGTTACTTTTAAAAAATCCACAATTACTCTCTACATACACACAACCCTTTCCAGCTATTACAAAATAGGCACCAAGTTTTACAGTTAGCAGTTTAAATACGTGCCATACCAAAGAAAAACAAGTTACCTTCTTTTTCTCAATGTTCCTGATCTTGTGTTTGAGGCAGATAAGCCCATTATCAATGTAAGTCTCGTATGCCTGGGAAGGAGAAGCTGCCGAGTTCAGCGCAGATTGCAGGGGGCTGGAGGGAGGTTGGCTCTCCCCAGATGGGTTCACCTGCTGCTTGGTTGCCTTCATGCTCTTATCCTCACCCTCCTCTGACCAGCCAGAAGAAGATGATGGGCGACGGAAAGGGGCTTGGGAAAGCTGCACCATTGAAATGGATGGAGCTGCAAAGAAACTCCTTTTATTTAGCTCTCCCACCCTCCCCCCCCTTTTTAAAGTTATATCTTATCACACGTTCAGAAAATGCAGCCACAATACTGAGCATCAGTAAGATTTCACTACAGTCTTTCACTCTTCTCCCTCCCCCTTCCAAAATATCTGTAGCAGGAATTTCAAAGCAAGGCAAACTTTGTATTGTTCAAGTCTCCCCACCCATCCAGACAGCAGAAATCCTTTACATAGGCAGAATCAGATAGCACAGGGGATGATTCCAGAAACCCAATATAGTGTCCATATAAAACTAGGCGGGTTTCTTGCACACATCACCCACAAGAGAAAAAACTGCAAGCAAGCAATTGCAAATCATGCTGCCAGCCTCGCGTCTAGGCTGCAGCCTGAATGAAGATTTATTAGTGGCATGCCTGAAGGTATAGCCCCTCTTCTTCCACCTCCATTAGATCAGTTTTACCACTTCATGACCTTTGCAGCAATTCAATCAAGAACTTACACTACAAATATTTCCATTGAAAAAAGTGAAGGCAAAAAAAAAAAAATTGCTTAATAAAGCAAGCAGCACTCTCGGTCACAACAGCATCATTCTCCATGAGGAACGGGTCCCTGCCCTACACCCATCCAAAAGACGTGCTTGTGCCGTGGCAAGGCACCGGCTCGGATGGGAGAGGCTGGGCTTTAACCTTGAACAGAGAATTCTACATCTGTAAGAGATGCTCCGCCACCCTCATCTTCAACTACTTACACCTGCTCCTGGCGAGCAATGACACCACATTTCTGCCTCCCCTCCCGCCAGGGAGGAGGCCTGCGCCGCATGACCCCAGCGGGCACCAGCCGCCCACGCCGAGGGGCCCGGGGAGGACAAAACCCGCATTTCCCCGGG